TAATAGTAGCAACAACAATACTGACCGCAACTTTAATAGGACAATGAATTTTCCGTGGTATTTACACCGTAACAACAGCAACAGCAGCAACAGCAACAACAATAATAATGACAATGCGTTAGTAACGTAAATACCTAAGATTGTACCGCATTGTCTTAGGGCTTAGATGCAAGTTTATCTATATGTCCGATGTTAGTTCTAACTGACTGGTTTTCTTCGACATTAATTAAAATTCCCAAAACCCAAGAGTAACTTTTGAAGGTTATAAGTAAGCTGTATAGGAGAGGTTGGCAAAATGCAGTTGGGCCAGAGTTCCATATAGGACCTTCATATTTCTTCTCACCAAATCGATTGCTAATAGCGTTGACAGCAATTCCGGTCGGTTCTTAGCGAGCTGCATAAACAAAAAAAAGCATTCGATAAGGGTTATAAGCGACGGATTGAACTTAAACAATTTCACGTAGATATAGGACTACAGTGAGACTGTGTTTTTTCTCTTTCTCTCCCCCTGGTGTTCATTAATCGCCTTTGCGGCTGATTGATAATTATATTTATTCATTTGCAGGCGACAGCACTTTCTCTCACTCGCTCTCTATTGGGTTAGAAAACAAAGGCCGGGAGATGAGTAACCTTGTAATAATACTTGCGTAGGAGGAGACAGATCAAACTTTAACGTCACCAAAACTCAATGCTTTCTTTTATCGCGCAAGAAAAACGATGAACACCTCCTTTTCTTTCGCGATGTCAATATAGACGACTCGCATTCCTTTCAAACGATGAAAATACAAAAGGACAGACAGATAGAAGACGCAGTTAATGATCTAAGTGTTTTAAAGCGGTGAGTGCACTCCTACATCACCATATCCGATGATAGCCCCTAACTACATCCTAGCAAGATTAAACTACAATTAGCATATGTGGGCCATAGCTCTGCATTTCGAAACCGCGTAGCGAAAAGCTCAGGTGTTCATAGGCGGCGACACACCGCGATGGCGCGATGTAACATGGGCCATGTTAGGCCTGTGTATAGGTATGTTCACGGCAAGTGCACAGAGACAAAACTAATTTTTTTATCAATTAAGAAGACTTGTGGCCTTTCTCGACGTTTTCCCCCGCTTAACCTGAAATTTTATATCATATCTGGAGGCACTCGATCGCGTGAAGCGAACGGATCAAGAGCTCATGGGTGGCGATGTTATGTGCAATGTCTTTGATTTCTTTAAAAGTTAGAGTAAAGTGAGCTATGTTAGGCATATACACAACCATTATTCTACAGAGATAAAACTGATTTCTTTGTTCATTTAGAAGACTACCCGGCTTTGTTGGCGTTTTCAACCGTTGGCCCTGATATTTTCTCCAGACTGCAATAAAGATAAACGCTACTCTTCATTCTTTAAGGATATCGCCCTTCTTTGGAGCAACCTATCTCACACATTTATTGCCGAACGCAAAAAACCGTAACAATTTTAAATCCTTTCTTATTACGCCCAACTTGTAGTGGTGGGTGACCACTTGTAAGCTGAATTTGGGATCTATGGTGATTCGTAGTATAGCCAAGTTTCGTCGGTAGTCTTATAAATTATTCCAATCAGCATCGTCTCGTGCAAAGTCGAGAGGACATCCTTTGGTTTTATTTTCCGTTTTTTCGCTAAGGTCGCTGCATATGATGTTGCCATTTAGCCTGCGTTTCGTTTCCAAATTTCGGTTTAAATATTTTCTCAAGAGTACATGAGTAGATAACAATCGCGACCACCAAGTCACTCTTCGCAGGCTCAAATCTCTATAGTTGTATAGCTATAGCGAATGTTCAATCAGTAAAGGCATAACACTTAAGGTTAAGGCCACCTCCCTATCTCTTTCCCTTTCTTTACTTCTTTCTGACGGGATAGCAAGCATCCTCTGGTGTAGAACAAAAAAAGAATTGTGGTTCGGGGAGACCCCTTTGAAACGACAAAGAAACACATTTGGCCTCATCTATTTTATGTATGTAGTCGAAAGCATTATAACTTTATCTGTGTATATCTTTATTCCTCTGCCACTTTGTGTGTAAAATTGCGGCTATGATCTGTATCTCGTATAGCAGGCCTGATTTTGAGCAACTTTCGCTCAATCTCAGTCACAAGAAAAGTGCAACACTGTAAAATACTTACCATTTGAAGAGAGCATGCTTGACGAAGCATATTTGCCGGTACAATGCATTTTTTTTTTTTAATATTATTGTAGCCTGAAAGGAAAAATTGAGCGTGCATTGTTTTTCCGGTATAAAGTGATTTTACTTTACAAAAGATTGAACAATGCAAACATATTGCTCGAAATTGAGTTATTGTACTTTATCAAAAGGTGCTATCTTTCCATTGTAACCTTTTAGGCGTTGTCGCCTTAGGTCATCCGATAATTTATGTTTATTGCTTTCACTTTACAGTACAATATAAATGAAAATAAATATTTGGTGAAGTAAACGGCAGACATAAATACTATTGGCTACCGATCAATATCGAACGACAATTGCTGTTATGTTATGTGTCAATGACGAGTTTCAATGCGTCTATTGAATTGCAAATGTTAACTGAACTGAAAACTGGAATCATCAATGAACGATGATTTATGCCATAATGTATAAGGAATGGGAAAAATTCAAAATACAAGGTAAAGACCGAAAACCGGAACCGTAGGCTTATACCTTGGACTAGCACGCCAGTTTATTCATGCACCTAAATGCGTAGGCCTAATTTAATAGGATTCCGGTTATCAGCTTCATTATCGTTAGTTCACATTAGGTTCCTTGAATGAGTTAAATGTTGCAATTTGGGCTCGCTATTAAATGTCAGATCCTTCCGATTTCTTCGTACCTTAAACCAGCGAAGTCTAAATGATTTGTTCTGGTATCATTTCGGAATATTTGTGCCTAGAAATAATTATGTAAATGATTCCTAGTTGACATGCTCAGGGCGTTTTAGATGATTTTAAATCTTTGGTAAGAGCATTAAATTTTCTCGCGACTCGAACGTGCCGCGTTAGGAGAATAGAAGACATATGAGACCGATGTATGTGCTCTTTTTGAGCTAGTTAGGCGGTGAGATGAGGAAGGGGTTTTCCACTTTCGACTCGCTGACACCCTTCAGACCGTCACAACTAAAAGAACAGCAGTTACTTACCATTTAACGAACAAGAGGACGGACGTAACCTAACCTAACGAACGGGCGTCTCTTGAGCCTCTACCTGACCTAATAATTTTCTTCGGCACATGATTTCTATTTCTATGGATTACTCCTTACTTACCCAGACATGTATATATGGAACCGGAATATGTGCATAGAAGATAAAAGTGTATTGTGTGAATATGTACATTTTTCCGTCTTATCATCTTCGTACGTTCTGGCAAGTGAAGCTTTTCCGTGCCCTATCGATGCAAACAAATGATAGATGGAAAGAGGCTGGATTCCAATGTCTCTGGAACCGGTTTTGCAGGACGATTGCCATGTAAAAAAACAACTTTGTGTTGCTTTGTTTGGTATTTGAACCGCTTCTTGAACAGCAAACAGCTCGAGTCGATTAATGATGTTAGTAAGACGTGGCATTAATCGTTTTACCGCAACTTTCAAGGTGAATAGTACACCACACTCTTCTGATCTCACCAAACACAGAAAATATCGTCTTGCTGCGAAAGTCTCATAAGCAATGCGGATGGCATGCTATCCATGAATTTTCGCACCTGGAATTCTTTAAATAAATTCATTTTATGTCCCCATTTACGGTACGAAGCAAAAAAATTTTTTCTTTTAATTGGTTCAGGCAAAGAGAAACTCCTCTCAAAGTATTTTTATCTGCCATTACTACTGCTTATTATAGCCAGATATCCAAGCTATGACAAATGAGGCAAAGACAGAGCGATAAGATATGACCCACTATTAAATGCCATAAAACACTTCGTTTCATGCAGTTATTCGTATAGCAACTTTTCAAAATAAGAGGTTGCATGGGAGATGGTCTCGATGTAAGCCATTTTCAATAGCTTTCGGTCATGACACAAGGCACGTCGCTGTACCAAATTTCATCAAAATTTTTCAAAAATTGCAAACGTGTAGTTTTAACACAACAAAATAAATCAGACGGACGGATAGACAAATTTAGATCGTTTCAGAAATTGGAAGAACGCGTCTAGCTCAAGCCCTCCTGGGCGTTACACACACCCGCACAAACTTAGTATGCCCGAAAGTACACTAAAAGTGATGTGCGATGTCAAGAATGCTATGTTAGGAATGTTCAACCTCTCATGCTCATCCGTTTTGCTAGAAAAATGGGAAACTTCCGGTTTCATATTTACACAGATGTGATGCTCTCCTCTCTTAAAGATTATACAACATGTAAATCCTAAGTTTATTTACACAGATTTGAGAAGGAAAATCAAAAGAATGTTCGTTTAAGCTTAAAACGGTATTTTTTTTTTCTAAAAAAAAAAATAAATAAAAAAAAATAAAAAACTAAAAAGAAAAAATTTTTTACATTTTATCCTCAAATACTTCATGAAATTTTAATTCAATCCCTGCGCTTTGATACTATCTAAATTATCTTGGAAATCATTTTGAAACAACACAAACAGAATAACAAACTAAAATCAATGCGAAGAGCAGCGAAAATACAAAACAAAAAGAATTTAAATTCAACTAAGCAATCGTTTTAGTAGAAAGCACACAAGCCTTTGTCTACAAACCCGTGCAATTCATTTACTTGCTGCCTATATTGAAAACTAAATCAATGAGATTGCTGGACTGTGTAGTATTTTTCTTTTTCTTCTTCTAGTTTTTTTTTTTTTTTGTTTTCTGTTTTCTTTATATTCTATTTTTGTTTATTTTTTTCTCGTATTTGCTTGAACTTATTCAATTTTTGTAACTATCGTTGTTGTCGTTTTTGTTGCTATTGTTGTTATTGTTGTCATTGCTTATTGTTTTATTTGGTTTTTTTTTTGTTTTTTTTTTTTCTCTGCTTTGTATTATTTTTAGGCGCTCCTTTGCCCTGGCAAGGCTTGAAAATGGCTCACCACTTACCATCTGCGTGTCCGCAGAAATTGCCTGATATCACTGCAGCGATGTCAAGTGGTAGTGCAGCAGCTGCTAAACTATCCAAAGGCCGTTACAAATACTGGACACGTTTGTTGCCTTATCTAAAAACAGAAAATGAGGATTGTTTGTATTTGAATGTTTATGTGCCGAGTGAGAATGACGTTACAGCGGCATTGTTTCAACGTAAATTTCTCTATCCGGTTATTGTATACATTCACGGCGAGTCATTCGACTGGAATAGTGGTAATGCCTACGATGGTTCGGTATTGGCAAGCTATGGTGAAATTATTGTTGTTACAGTAAATTATCGTTTGGGTATATTAGGTAAGCGGTGTGTTAAGAGCCGCAAGCAGTCGCGAGCTCTTGCGAATGTTAATAAAAAAGATAAAATTACAATAAAATTCCTTTTATTGTTTTTTTTTTTTTCTTTTTTGCCCACTTCAGGTTTTATGAGGCCTAGCATTAATGAGAATACCGTAGCCAACTTTGGTTTATTAGATCAAATTGCTGCATTACATTGGATCAAAGAGAATATCGGTTATTTTGGTGGCGACAAGGATAGCGTCACTTTAATGGGTCACACAACGGGGGCAGCATGTGTTAATTACCTGATGATATCACCAGTTGCCTCGGGTAAGTAAGATATATTCTATGCTTTATCGTATTTGCCGTAATGTGTTTATATGTTGGCGAATGCAATTATATTGTTGTTGCATTTCGATTTCATATTTAATTAAAAGGCCTTTTTCATCGTGCCATATTAATGTCGGGTTCCGCTATGTCTGATTGGGCAGCCAGCAATTATTCGCTACAGCTAACAATGCAAATTGCTCATGGCCTTAATTGTCCTTTAAATGATGACAATGAAGAGATGCTGACTTGTTTACGTCAGAAACGGTAAGTATGACATATGAACATACACGCACACACGCACACGCATACATAAACACACATACACACAAACGTATACACATATATATCACACATATACTTATATACACACATACATACACATACATACACACGTATATATCTATATTCATATTGGGTGTTTGCAAGAATGTTGATCAGCGACTTCGCCAAATAGAAATGATAAAGAAATGGGCAGATAACGCTATATAACGGTTGAACTCGATGGTTTTGACCTTCTTCTACATCAAATAACAGTCTGCCATTTAATATTATCGATTCATTCAGCGTACGCCATCGCTAATCATGGAGCGCTCGAAATTTTTCTACTTCCAAATTCATTACTCTTGTTGTTTATGTGATGTGATACTCTATCATATCCCAATTGTCGGTTTTCGTACCAGCGGCTTAAAAGCGGTGACACGAGTTTACTGAAAATGCCATTTATTTGGCACTTGCTGCAAAAGTTGTCCAGGATATCACTGTTGCAGCTCGAATGGGAAATTCTGCCACAACGGACATGATGCCTCCTAAATATCATTTGTTCAGCGTGGCTTGGCTGACACAGGTGTCCGCAAAGTTAAAGAAATGGGAAAATGGGTTGATTAGTTGATAGCTGTCAAACCAATATAAGTTCTTTTCACGTGCTACCGCCACGTTAGCAAGACTATTGCAAAATGTTGTAGAAAATGATGGAAACCTTTATGACAAATGCATATTATAGCAATTTTCTACAATAAATTCTTTTTTCAAGTAAAAAAGTGATCAAAATTTTTGCAAACACCTAATAAATACATAAATCTCTGTATATATATCTATATATATTTCTATATATATTTCTATACATATATATATATATATATATAACATGACAAAACCACTTCAATTAAACATTCTCCTTTAACTGCACTCTCAGCGGTCAACCGTATTTGACGCAAACGGCAATGACACTTATACGCAATTTCTTAACCGTTCCTTATATCAAGCTTCCTTGCATATCGTTGACTGTCAATTTCTGGCCGTCTATACCAAGGTTAAAACACCTTCGCAAACACATTCACCTAAAATTCTGTTAGTAAAATAATGCAATTTGCAAATCAATTCTCAAGAGATTAAAGTAATCAGCATTTAATTGTTTATTAATAAGGTCAAGATAGTAAACAGAACTTGTGTTGTGTATTAAGCAAGGGACAACCGACGACGATAATATTCTGCCTATGCTTATCCCTATACGTGTACATGTGCATACATATACATTCTGTGTGCATGTTCAATGAATTTTAAATCATTGAGACCATAATTTACTGCCGTAGAAAGTAAATATTTATTAAGAAAAGTTTGCTCAAACGATGTAAAAAAGAAATGGCAAGAAAATAATTGGTAGAAGAAAACTTAGGATATATTACATAAAGCAATTAAGGTTACAAAAAAAAAAAAGATTAAATAAAAAGTAGTGTTAAAGGTTATATTCCGGTTTAAGCAGAACTTTATTTCAGATATTAAATTTGATTTTCTTATTTAAAAATCAATTCAATTTTTCTTTAATGGTAAGTCCTTAACTTTGCGAGTAGATAAAGTCGTCTCTCGTTTTGATCTCACATGTCCTTCGTCCCGGAGGGGAAGTGTTAAGACAAGTTAGGAACCTTGAAGGAAGTCCGAATCAGATGACTTCCATCGTCGTCCGGATCGAGAGACCGACAACTTCCATCTTGTGCGAGCTCTTCTATACTATGGGCAGTCAAGCGAACACAACGCCTGCGAAAAAGTAGGATTATTTTTTTCTTACAGTAAACTTAAAACTTTGTCTTGAGAGATTAAATTAAAATTAGACGACAGAAAGCAACCTCATTGCTCTTGACATACGTAAACCGAAAGCGTAAAGCGTCCCGAGAAAACAAATATTGTTGTAGAGGAGCCCGGCGCCCAGCTAGTATACCCCCGCGATAGATTTACGGCCGACAGGCGGGCTCACAAGTTCTCAAAAGGTACTTTGAAACTGTCCATAGGCCTAGACGAAGCACAAACAAAATGTAAATTATGTTCCAGTCCATGTTCAATTCAGATGCTTATATTTTGGTTAGGCCTTGTGACTACTACTTTTTGGAATACTTAAAAGGTCCTTTTTGCTTTCACATTCCAGTTTTTTTAGCTGTGATGTAGGAAGTGAAAGTGGAAAAATACTATCCCATCTTAAATACGGTTATTTCAATAATATTTCGATTCATATATAAGAATTTAGCAATTTAGTATGAAAGCATTGCCACATACGCATATCTGACAATAGCATACTTTTGGGAGAATTATAAAATTTATTTCTGTAGTGCAACTTTTCTGAAGCCTTCTGCTCGGAGCGTCATTGGTATATCTACAGCTTATTTCTTGCCCTCTTTTACCAAATATTATTTTTTTAAAATCTTTTTAACGCAATGGCGAGGCACTTTCGTATCGGTGGTTTCTTTTTGTTATCGCTGTAGGGTAGTTGTACAACCTTAGATGGTATCACTGGAGTCCACACTTCAATGAACACCTTATACCTATAATCTATTTTTTACTTTTATTTTTCCTATTATTGGTCCTATTATTGGGGAAACGTTTCCCGCAATATTTATTTAAATACCGATGTTAATTAGTTCCGGTCCTTTAAATGCCTTTTACTTTTCGAAAGTCGCGGTATTCTAGACGCTTTACTGAGCATAGCTTTATGTTTCCGTCATTCGCATAAATGATATTTCACATAGCATACCGTTCCTATAGTGTAGTGTGACAATTTTTATGTATTTTTCTTGTTGCATTTGATTACTTTAACAAATGACTTGGAAAAGACAAATACCCAAAGAAAAAAATTATAGCTAGCAATAGCCTGAGAGAAAATAGATACGTAAGTAAATCACTAAAGAAAAATATTGGATGAATCGGTTTTTTAATAAATAGGTTTAAGAAAAACACGTACATTAATTACTTTACAATGATTACGATCTGAGAATTATTACCAAAAGTAAAAAACACAAATTTTTTCAAGACCTTAATTAGGTAAATAATGTAAAAAGGAAATTAACAAAACCTTAAAAATGGAAAATGAATTAAATTAAAAAGTGTTTTGAAAACAAGCAAAGTTTCATGTTGTCCTCAATTGCTATTACATTGTTATTTAATTAAGTATTAAATGAAGGAAAACTTGAGCTTTCAAATTTTTTTTTTATAACAATTCTTGTGTACTGAAAAATCATCATCTCCCCTCTCTTTACAAGTTTAGTTTAAGTATTGATCTCTGCTTCGATATTATAATTATTTATTATATTTATTTTTGCTTGTGATTGTTGCAACAGCAATACAAGTGTTTATTATGTGTTATGGAATAATCGGGTGGGTGAACAACTTTTTGAGGGTATCTTACGAGATTACCAGGGTTTCTTTTTCGGATACATATATACATTCTATAATTGGGATAGAATTATTTTTATTATTACTAATATTATTATTAATTTCCCCAGAGAAATAAATTCTAAGACTAAACTCTTAAAAGCACTTGAGATTCGAACCCACGACCATTGACTTCCTCGCCTTCGGTTACTCAGGCGGATGGGGGATAGAATATTTCAGATATGTCTTTGAAATTTCTTTTTGTAGTCATATCATGAAATCTTCTTTTTCATTCCTTTCCTAGTCTACTTTTGGGGTGCACTAAAAATTTTGTTTTACGTTAGTTTTATAGCATACTTCTAGGTCGAAAGTGAATTCTACTTTTTGTAATGTTTTCGTAGTATATCTGCGATGCATCGCAAATCTATTATTACGGTGTTTTTTTAGTGTTTCTAGGAGGTATGTGAACGTTATTGCTTTTTATCGCTTTCGTAGTACACTTCTTGCCCTTATAGTAGACATCATAGTAGACATCTAGACACGTACGAAATCTCCTTTTTCTAGTGTTCTCATGGTATATTTCTGGAATGCGTCTAAAATGTACTTTTACGTTCCTGGGATGTTTGTAAAATCTGGTTCTATTATGAATGTTTTCGTAATGCATGTCTAGGACGCCTTTAAAATTTACTTTTGTAATCGTTTCATAATATACAGTAGCCTCTCCTAAAACAACGAACATTAAAACATTGAAGAATGTATACAAAATTCATTCATCTATAATTTTTACTTTTTCTTTTGTATTAATTCTACATAATTATTAATAGTTATATCAATTATTATTGCTTTAATTATTGCAGCTAAGACGTAAAAGCATTCGGTCAACTTGCGTCATTCCTTTAACCTCTTATACAAATCTCTCGTAGCGGATTGTACGACCGAGTGGTTACAATATTTTCCCCCCAATTTCTTATATGAACACGTGTTCTTGGGCGGCACTTCTAGAATGATAAAAATTTATATTTGCAGTGGTTTCATAGCACATATTGCTAAGATGCTTTAAAATCCACAATTACAGTATTTCCGTTGCGTATTTCTAGGATGCCTCTCAAGTTTACAGATACGGTATGCCTCTTACATCTATTTTAGCGTTTTGCTATATTTGAAAGGCGTCTAAAACTTGCTTTAGATTATTTTTATGGTACATTTTTAGGATGCTTCTGAAATACAGTTTTATTGTATATTTTGCGGCTGCCCCAGCCATCTACTTTTGTAGTGACTTGATAACACACTTCTGGAATAGCTTTGAAGCCTGATTATTTGGTTTTCATAGCGTATTTGTGGGAGAGGCATAAAATCTATTTCTACTATATATTTTTATAATGATGCTAAAATCTAGCTTTATAGTGTTTTAAAGTGCAGTAAAGTGCCCAAAATGTGTCAGTTTCGTTTTTATATAGAATTTTAAGCGATTTCTTTGTAGTTATTTTTTTTCATTATGAATACATATAATATCTGATCGAAGTGCTTAAAAAAAACCAAATTAAGTTTGTGCGGATGTATGGAACACCTAGAAGGGCTCGAAGTAAACTCATGTTTTACTAAATCCCACTTGATGAAACAATTTAAGC